CTGGCCCGGCCTGCCAGGGTGCTTACCCTGGCGAGCCGCGTGCCAAACGTTGCTGACCCCTGCCCTAGCTGGTAGTTGGAGTAATCTCTTATCTTCTTATTCAGACCAGCCACTGGCGGGTGACAGACACACATTGTGCTTGTATAATGACATGTAATTTCAGGGGGTTACACAGAATGTGGCAGAAAGTTACGTGCTTCTATTTATAACTGTAGATACTTGTATAATCGTATGCATAATTACATTGTTCCCTTCTTGGAGTCTCTTTGAGCTGAGGTACAGATGCAGTATAAGTAGAGTATAACAAATAATAAGACTTTGCATTTCTGTGGGAGTTCTACCATGTATTGCAAGGAGATGTAGGATTGTTCCCTTTACAGTTTTCATTCAGGGATCTCAGAAGACATTATAAATATTTAGGACCAAATCCTGGACTCCTTGAACTCACTGTTGGTTTTGCCATGGATTTCAGTGGGATTAGGAATTGGCCCTTGCAAATAGCCTCCCAACTTCCCTGTGAGGTAGGTCTGTGAGAAGAAAGTTACCTTTCTTCTGACCAAAAGCTGCTAAATTCAGAGGTGTTAGTGCAGCCAGTCTCTCCTATGGGTCTGTTGGCTTTGTGCCACAGATCTGCACTTCTATAACCAGGTTGTTTTAGAACAAATTCTGGAGGCCACAAGTAAAATAGATAATGTGGGAAGCCAACATAACAAAGGGCAAAGAAATTCTGGGTGGCAGTATTGGGCCAACTTGTAAGTTCCCTATTTCAGCTGTAATAAATCAGGAAAAGCCAAATACTGCACCATCTGTTGCAGAGCAGCTCAGACAGTTTTATACTTGTAATTGTGGCCTGTTTAGAATTTACTAGCCAGCAAAACTCTAATCCCAGTCAAAATGCTTATTCTTTTGGGCTTGAATTTTCAAAGAAGTTTAAGGGAGTTAGACATGGACATTCCATTGAAATTCCATGGGAATTGAGTGCCTAACTCCCATAGGCTCCTTTGAAAATCACAGTCTTGGCGGCCCCCTTGCATTTTTGTTTTGGTGACAGGCCCCTCCATGGGTGTGCAATGGAAGGGTTAGGGCACAAGGACTCTATTTACACCTTGATAATTCCTGCAATAGTGTCCGTTCACTAAAACTCAGTGAGCTCTTCTGAGTGCCCTCATTGCTCCCAGCTAGCACCCCTGGGGCACAGGCCATTCTAATGGAGAGTAAGAAAGTGGTTGGGCCACGACCTGGCCCCTATACCAGCCAGAAGAGCTAACCAGCTGAATGGGGGAGTTTGTGCTACATCCCCTCAGTGAGTGAAGGAGCCAGGGCGCACACCCTTTGTGCCTCTGGGTGCTCTGTGAATTTGTGCTTCCTGCTCAGGCAGTGTGCTTGTATGCTGCTCCCAATACAGGACTGTGGCTAATAGTCCTGTAGAGACTGTATAACTTGATGTATGAGCCCTAGATATTCAAATCATGTTTGTTTCTCACTTCTTTAGTACAAGAATTAGTAACTGGGTGGCATAGTTTCACCTTGATACATAGATGCTATAAAGGCACATTGTCAGCCACATCTGAACCTATTTTTGTTATATGCTAATCACATTTTCATGGATTCCAGGAGACTTTTTTCGTTATAAATAATTAGGTTTGGTTTAGAATCTGCTTTGCACAACTATCCCATTTTGTCAGCATCTGTATTGACAGCTCCTACTTAACATTAAGATTTTAAGTGAATTCATGCTTCTTGCAGCAGTATAATTAATTAGTCTTCACAAATAGAACAAAGACTGATGGTGTGTAAGAAAGAAAGGGAGGACTTATAGGTTTGATTAATTGGAGTTTACTGGGAGACTGGGTAATTGTTGTTTACAAATCATATTATAATATTTGTGTGTGTGTGTGTGTGTGTGTGTGTGTGTGTGTGTGTGTGTGTGTGTGTGTGTGTGTGTGTGAGAGAGAGAGAGAGAGAGAGAGAGAGAGAGAGAGAGAGAGGAGACCGAGCCTAAAATTTCTGATCCAGGTTCAAACTCCACTGAAGTTCAGCCTACTATAGAAATGAAGTTTTTTTTTTCCCAGCCTATTACAGAGCTGGAGTTTCGATCTGACTTTGAGTTTCCCCAAAATTTGGAAAAAAGAACAGGAGTACTTGTGGCACTTTAGAGACTAACAAATTTATTTGGGCATAAGCTTTCATGGGCTAAAACCCACTTCATCGGATACATGCAGTGGAAAATACAGTAGGAAGATATATATACACAGAGAACATGAAAAAATGGGTGTTGCCATGCCAACTCTAACAAGACTAATCAATTAAGGTGGGCTATTATCAGCAGGAGAAAAAAAACTTTTGTAGTGATAATCAGGATGGCCCATTTCAAACAGTTGACAAGAAGGTGTGAGTAACCGTAGGGGAAAAATTAGCAGGGGGAAATAGTTTTTACTTTGTGTAATGACCCATAAACTCCCAGTCTTTATTCAAGCCTAATTTAATGGTGTCCAGTTTGCACATTAATTCCAGTTCTGCAGTTTCTCTTTGGAGTCTGTTTTAAGTTTTTGAAGAAATTGCAACTTTTAGGTCTGTAATTGAGTGATCAGGGAGGTTGAAGTGTTCTCCGACTGGTTTTTGAATGGTATAATTCTTGATGTCTGATTTGTGTCCATTTATTCTTTTGCGTAGAGACTGTCCGGTTTGGCCAATGTACATGGCAGAGGGGCATTGCTGGCACATGATGGCATATATCGCATTGGTAGATGTGCAGGTGAACGAGCCTCTGATGGTGTGGCTGATGTGATTAGGTCCTATGATAGTGTCCCCTGAATAGATATGCGGACAGAGTTGGCAACGGGCTTTGTTGCAAGAATAGGTTCCTGGATTCGTGTTTTTGTTGTGTGGTTGCTAGTGAGTATTTGCTTCAGGTTGGGGGGCTGTCTGTAAGTGAGGACCATTGGCCAAACCGGACAGTCTCTACACAAAAGACTAAATGGACACAAATCAGACATCAAGAATCTTTCTTAGAAAAGGCAGTTGAGCTATTTAGAATTGTATTTTTCAGAAACTAATATTTCTTGGTAGCTTTTAAAGCTGGATTGCCTACTTTATATTATGTTTAGAAATACATAACCTGAAAATAACATTTTTGTCCTCTTATTTATTTATTCTCATGCCAGAACAATTACCTGGTTCCTGTTAAATATTCATGGTGATCTTCACAGTTTTTCACTGGGATTGGTTATATTTATTCCCTCTTACAGGATTCCAAGTCCTTGAGGCAAAGATGTGCAAAAGTCTTTTAAGCTGCTTTCTCATTTGATTGTACCATGGGATCATGGGGTGGCTCATCATCCAGTGAGCTGAAACAACGAAGTTGTATCTCTCATCCCAGCATATGCTGAACGTAATTAGGCGCCAGTCCAGAAAAGGCTTTGTAAACATTCTGAATCCATGCCACATTCCTTCAGTCTCAGAAGCTGCCAAGTGCCTAAATGCTGTATTCAATCCAGTTGCCTAAATATATAAAATGAATGGCTGAACTAAGTGTCTTCCTGGTAGAATATATGCATATAGGTTGGACAGACTTGGAGAGGTTCAATTTTCAGTTCCAGAACCTGATGTTCTGCCAACCCACCTTCCCTACTCACTAGGGACAGGACTCAAGGGAGACCAGAGTGTGAACTCTTCTGGGCTAGCCTCATTGGGAAGGAGCCATCCTTCCTCTCTTCTTGCCCTATAGGGAGGGGGTACCAAAGGCCCGGGATTTCCAGTAGTGGTGTTACAACTTGATGGTGTCCATGTCATAACACAAGCACTGGCACATCCCAATGAAACTCTGTTTCTGCCAAATAGATCTCACAAACATTTGGGTTCAGTTCAGCAGACTCAAATGGGGCTAGTTCCAGCACATTTGGGTTTCTGCCTGAAGAGCATTCACTACGCCATTATGTCTCTTGTATTGAATTTGATGCCTTGATTCTATTACGTTATAATAAGGTGTAGCTATATCGTCCCCCTGCAAAACAAACAAAGAGCTAAGGTTCAAGTGGATTTCCTCAGATACACTAAACACTTAAAAGCAAGAAAATCATAAGCCAAGATAACACTCACAACCAGCAATACCACTTTCTAAGTATTAGCCCATCACTGTTGTGATACTCAATACCAACACACACTTTAATAGAAACATCAAGCTAATGTGATAAATGGATTGGCTATCATTTGCAAGGTATGAAACTTGTGGATAGGTCATTCTCAGTAGTGAACCCTGGTTTTTGAATTCACTCTCAAAAGAAATACATTTTACTCCTATCTGGGCTGTGTTTAAAGCAAGATGTAAAATGCATCTATTTTCCATGCCTCTTGGAATCTGGATTTTCTGGGATCTTCTGACATGCAATTCAGTGGCTTGCTTTTCCCACTGCTAAGGTTATCTAGTTCTGAGCAGTGAGGTGTGCGTATGAAGGGGTACACGTGATCTCTCTGAGGGAAAAGTTTGCAGTTATATATATATCTTGTACAGTGCACCCAGATACTGCTGGGATCAGTGGTCAGCACACTGGCCTAGGGTGTAGGAGACCTGGGTGTAATTTCCTGCTCCACCATGGACTTGCTCTGTGACCTTGGGCAAGTCACTTATCCCTTCTTTGCATCAGTTCCCATTTATAAAGATTGCGAAGTGCTTTGTGAGCTACTGATAAATGCTAAATAAGTAGGGTTTGGGGTTTTTTTGGTTTTTTACTACTACGAGGCTGGACGCATTGGCTAAGGAAGGATGTCTCTGGAAGTAACTGCTTAGATGATACTATAAAAATTGTCAAAGGAGTATCAGCTTTGTTCTAAGATAATTTTTGGACAGCCCAATATATGTTGGTTGTGTTTCTCCTTAACATCAGTATTATGTCTAAAACCAAAAGAGTTTCAGTGTATCTGTTGAAAGCGATAAGACACTGCATTACTGTATAGTGGGCTCAGTTTACTGACTTCAACTAGTACTGTATTTTTTTTTCTAGGTATGGCAATGTGGAGGTAGTGTTGAGGTGCTGCCTTGCTCCAGGATTGCCCATATTGAGAGAGCCCATAAGCCGTACACAGAAGACCTCACTGCTCATGTCCGAAGGAATGCGCTAAGAGTGGCCGAAGTCTGGATGGATGAATTTAAAAGCCATGTTTACATGGCATGGAATATACCCCAAGAGGTAGGTTGCAAAGATCACCGGCATGCTCGGATAGCCTTAGCTCTGGGCCCAAAATATGAGCTCTAGTTTAGGACTATGTTTAGCCACCCTTATTCATATGGAGTAGCACCTTACTCTGTGAGCAATTCCATTGTCTGCAGGTTATTTAAAAATGACTTTCTTGCTGTGTTGCTTTTTTCTTGTTCATTGTTGACCCTGCAAGACTCTTCAAAGTTAGTACCTGCAGGAATGCCAGAGATGAAGCTTATATGCAGTGATGTTGTAGCCATGTTGGTCCCAGGTTATTAGAGAGACAAGGTGGGTGAGGTAATATCTTTTATTGATCCAACTTCTGTTGGAGAGAGAGACAAGCTTTCAAGCTTACATGGAGCTGCTCTTCAGCTTCAAATTCATGTCTCTATCTCATTGACTGGTATACTTTTTACCTGTGTTAGAGTGAAGCCCTGTCATACAATATGGGAGTATTGAATTTCTACCAGTCTTGCTGGAAGGGTGTCTCTTTCTTTTTCCTACTCATCTAGTAGGGCTGGAAATCCCCTTACAGAACAAGTGGCATTTCATGGTTCTATATCTCTATATGGAAATCATATTCCTACTTATGTTACTGCGAGTAACACTTACTGTTTAAAAAAAGCAAAAAAAAAAAAAAAAGAACAAACAGCAGCCGCAGCACTGGAAGCCAAAATTATTAAAAGCAGAATCTTGATTTTATAGCTATGCTACATAGACTTAAATGCGTGTGTGTGTGTGTCAAAGTCCTCACTACATGCTGTGCTGTTTATGTTTACTAAATAAACAATAAAGAAAAGTGTTTAAAAATGTTAGAAATTGAATATATATTATATCATTTATTATTAGGCCAATTAGTTCATCCCCTTGAAAATACAGACTATAGACACACTCCGATACTGATTTGTAGAAATACATCATGGGCCAGATGCTTATTCACATGAGTGATCTTTGCTCAGATGAGTAATCTGACCCCATGTTACAACCAAATTCTGTTCTCAGTTCTCCTCGTGTAAATATGGTTATAACTTCCTAGAATTTATTGAAGTTATTCTGGATTTACCCTAGCATAACCGAGAACAGAATTTGGCCTCTCATTTTAGTTTTGATTCCTTTAAATGAATCTATTTGCTTTGCAGTTGCAGCTCCCTCCAGCTGTCTCTTGCTAAAGAATATAACACAAAACAAATAAATGAACTCAAGCAATTTATTTATTTATTTTTCTAATAAAAGATCTCTCACAAATCTCTTTCTGAACAATTTTGCAGCTGCAGTGAAACTGGTATAATTTGTCCTGTGACTATTTTTTGTGCTAAAAGTAAAATGATGTACTTTGCCTAAGTTAGTTTCACCACACCAGGGGGAAAAAAAGTAATTGTAGCTAGAAAAAGACCGTTTTTTTCCCAATTCAGTAATGGGAGTCTGTCTTGTGGAGCTACTCAGAAGGTTAGAGGTCCTAAATATCTGACTGGGTCAAGGGGGTTTGGTTTGATTGCTATTGATAATGTGCTTGCACTTATGAGCAGAAGATCTGGGGAGGGAAGGAGTGGGAAGATATAATGAAATTACCAGAAGAAAATAAATCACGTTAGCTAAAACTAGTATAAAATGAAAATGCTTTACACCAAAGCAAAATTTCCCTCCGGAAATTGGGTGATGGTGGGAGGAGGGGAAAGGCAATAACTGGCATGGAAGCAGCAACCACATCTTCATTGTATCCCTTAAGTTCCCAACTTCTTTCTCTTAAGATTCCCTAGTAATACATGTGCTGAGTAATTCAACAGTGGCAAACAAAAGGGCAAAGAAGATCGGATCCAGTAGAATGTTAGATGACAATGGTGTCAGTGGTTCATATGTGTAACATGCTACTGTGGCAATGAATGAGAAAGTGAAGCCTGCTATAGGCAGCACAACAGACCCCTTGAGGTGACAGGCATTTTTATTTATAAGGGTTTCTCCTCTGCACAGAGTGGAAATGACCAAGAGGAATATGAGGGGAAGGGTGGTCTGGTCTGGTGGTTAAGACTCAGGACCAGGGCTCAGCTGATTAGAGTTCAAATCCCAGTTTGGCCACAAATTTTCAGTAAAACCTTGGCCAGGCCATTTAATTTCTCTGTGCTTCAGTTCCTCATATGTAAAAGGGGATAAAACAACTTTCTTTCTCCTACCCTTGGGGCAGGGACTCTCTCTTACAATGTACCTAGCATGTCTCAGTTGGAGCTTCTAGGTGCCACAGTAGTATAAAAATGGTATCTTCAAGGTAGGAGAAGTTCTAGTTTTCATATGGTTAAAAATCCATGAAACCTGAGCCTGGCAGTGATTTGGTATTAGCTGCAAAAGTGTCAGAGGGGATATGGGCCCTCAATGAGCTAACAGAAAATCCCTCTAACAGTGAGAAACTATCTTCTTGTATAGATGTGCCAGGCTGGGCCCTGCTCCTCCAACATCCCAATCCTGGCATAGGGGACATATTGGGAGCAGGCAGGGAGCATGGTGGAGTTTGGCTCCATTGTGGCAATCTGGCACTGGCTTAGAGTCCATTAGGGTTCCCAAACCAAATGAGTCCTTTAAAGTCACCTGGCAGCAGCTTGATATTTCACTGGGGTTAGAGCTGGCCTCAAGAATCAGGAAGCTGGCTCCGTCTCCCTGGCACTTCCAATCTGCTACACTAAACTTTGCTCATTGCCCACGAGAATCTAGCTTATAGATTTAAGTGAGGAAAAACCCCAGTGGGAGTAAAGAACCCAATGAAATCACCATCTGATCTTTTACCAGTATTGTTGGTGAGGGGAACAGGAAGATATGGTATAGGCTTACACCCATCGGCACATACCAAATCAGTCTGAAAAGGCAACCAACATCATTAGTGTGGGAGGTTTTTTCTCTCTATCGAAAGGGCAGGAGTTATGCAATCTGCTGTTTCTACAGAAAAAGTGTCGGAAAAGAGAGAGAGAACATCTATTTTTTGAGTTGCTTCTTAAAGCAACTCAAAAAATAACCTTGACACAGTATGTGGAACATCCGTGCTACAGATTACCAGGAGTGTCATAGGGCACAGAGCTAAAGGGATGAAGAGCAAGGAAAGTATGGGATTGATTATGTCAAAGTCCTATATCCGACTGAGTGGCATTAGCTCCATTGCACCTTGCTTCATCCTAAGATTCCATTAAGGGTGGAATATAAACTATGGACACTCTTTCAGCCATAGCTAGTTTCAGGAAGGGACAAAATAAGATAATGTAAATGCACAAAGTGGGTGTGTGGAAGACAAGGCAAATTGGCTGGTCAGATATTGTTGATTAAACATTTGTACAAGTGCGACAGTAATTATGTGTTTGGACAGAAATGAAACATCCGTGCAAAATAGAGGGATTGGAACCATTATAGTGGACTTTTTTGTTCACCTGTATCAGCCAGGGCTTTTCATGCAGTATGCTGTTCCAAAGTAGCAAATATCCAGTAGAACCTACTTTTTCATGGAATAATTCCCAGAGCTGCAGAGAGCTCCTCAATCAAATGTGTCCAAAGATTTCAGAGCATCAAAGGCCAAAAGGAGGGAGCTTGTCTCATTTGGCAGGAAGAAGTGGCTACTATCTTTGGTTCCTTGTATTTGAGGGACTGAAAACTTTAGTCAGGCACTCAGATACCATGGTGAGGAGTGTAGCATAAAATACCCAGCTAAACAGACTCAATAAGCATTTTAAAATGGAAACAAAACTTCAGAAGTGCCAAGTGAAGGGATCGCTCCGAAGAAGTCATCCTCTGAGCTAGCAAATGAAACAGAAATATGTTAAAAATGGGGTAGGTAGGAGGCGCTTGTGAGATTAGGGATCTGTGGGTTCATAGAATTGCTAACAGAATGAGATTGTCACCTCTGAGCTACTTTTTAACATAATGACTAGTCAGTAGTGGGTGAAGGTCATTTCAACCTATGTGTTCTATAGTAGTAGCCAGTAAATCTAAACATTTACCAATAGTTATTTGGGATGTTGTCATGGGTTTCGTGTAAAGAGGGGAAATACAGAAGATCTGAGAATCAGGCTGTGGTAACCAATGGTAAATTATGACTTGTTATGGTAACAACTATATGTAAATAAATTGATATTCTGGTGATTGGTGATTAGTCCTTCACACCCTACACAGGGTTTTTTTCTTGTTTTCACAAGTTCATCTCACCATCGGCTCAGAACTGGCTTCCCAGTCTTATGGGGCCTCAGTGGGCCAAAGACCTTCCAACCCTTCCCTAAGGACCAGGGGTCCTGCCTGTTGGGTGGATCAGAAAGAAGGCCTTGAGTCAGTTTTAACTCAGGCTGTTTAACTAAAAATCCACCCTTTGTCTCCCAGAGTGATAGAATTTAAGGCCAGAAAGAACCACTAGATCACATAGTCTGACCTCCTGTATAGCACAGGCCACCAACACCACCCAGCACCTGTAATGAGACTGCAGTTTTACAGCCCATAGGAGACTAGACTGTTATGTGCCAGAGTAGGAGGAACCAAGGAACACCAGTGCCTGAGACCCCCCTCATTGACAGGGAAATGATTAAGTTTCTGAGACCCAGATAGTCCTGCCAAGTGACCTACACCCGCCTGCTGCAGAGGACTGCATGTTGTTGGTCCCTGGAGAATCCAGTTTGAACCAGTATATGTGAGCCTCTCTCGAAGAGGTGGTATCTCTCTGGAAGTTTTACAGCCTGAGTGAATTTACCTAATCACTCCCGACTGCTCCTGTGGTCGCCTTCCCCCAGGGAATTTCTTACAGTTCCCTCAATAGTATATAAACATTTCCCTTTGTAATGCAATGAACTCCTAAGATACTGAAACATAATTCAATAAGGTTTAACTTAATTCAGTAAGGTTTGTCCAGGATATTGTCATATCTGTCACACATGGTTGCTTCATGTTAAAGTTAACACACGTTGGTGGGGGGAAGCATGAGGAAACATGCATCGCCACTAGCTAAGTGGCAGGACCTTAATCTCTAGGTGTTCTCAGTCCAACATATTTCACAATGTGTTTATCTGGCAAGTTTAACACGTTGCTCCTTCATCACCATCTTCTTTCTCTCTTTCTCTGCTTCCTTATCTCCATGTGTAAAATGGGGCTAAGGATAGTGACCTCCTGTGTAAACTGCTTTGAGATCTACTAATGAGAAGCCCTGCAGCAGAGCTAGGTGGTATTATTATTAACTATCAATCTGCTCTATCTCTGTCTTGCCTGCAACTTTTTCCCATGCCTCCAGTGACATTCATTTCTCAGCTTCCACCACATACAAGCTGGCCTCTGCTATACCCAAACCGGTGGACTGTGTGCAAGCTGGTTTCCTTTCCAGTTGCATGTCAGGGTCCAGTTGCAACTTTACGGGGACTTGGCTCCTTAGAGAGCTCTTCAGTCTCAGGAGCAATAAGCACTGCAGCATACTGTGTTGCATGAGAAAGGAATGGGGATGTACTGGAACCCAGTAGAAGGGCAGCTGAGCATCACTTACACATTGTAAATTCACAAAGCTCAGGGTAGATAAAGGAATCATCCGAGGCCACAGGGATAGTGGGTAGGCACAAAGGCAGATGTCAAGAGGGAACCAGTGACCTAGAAAGAGAGAGAGCTGTAATCTGACAAGGAGGAAATGGATTGGCTGAGAGGAGCATCCATCGTTTTGGAAATTCAGAAAAGAATTCAAATACAAGCTCTAAATACCCTCTGTAGTAGTGACCTATAGGAGGTTTTTGCTGGTAAGATTCAGACTGACTTGTAAGATATTGAGTGCTTGAGCTGAAGCCTCGGGGCACCTGATACTCTAGCCCAGCGGTTCTCAACCCGCGGGCCGCATGCAGCCCAATTAGCACACAGCTGCGGCCCAGCTCAGCTGTGTTCTAAAGGGCGGCCCTTGGGCTGGGGTCCCACCAGGTGAGAACCACTGATCTAGCCAGTCATATTCCTGACCAGGAGAAAAAAGATCAATTTGTTAATTAAGAGGCAGTTTTATGTAAGGATAGATGAATGATTTCTGCCAGGCATAGTTTGAGTCGCACCTATTTGCATCAGGCCTGAATTTAGTGCAAGGTATTTTTAATAGACTTTGCCAGTGTGGAAGCCAAATTTACTTTAGTGCCAGTCAGGAAATGCCTGCATTGTAAAATATTCTTGCTCCAGATAGTGTTAATTACGTAGACATTCTGTGATGCAAAGAGCAGCCTGGGCTTCAGACCATAAAATCAGGCTCCTATAAAGCTATCCTTTTGATATACCAATGAAAGAGAATTCAGCATTTCCTAACATCATTTTAAAATCCTGATGTCAGCAGACAATGAAGACACTTTGGGCATTTATGACTCAGGCAAGGCCTGCTGTTTAACCAAATAGATTGTAAGAATTCTCTCTAAAGTTTATTTATAATAAGTTTTGTTCTGTTATATTGAGCTGTATGTGAGAACATAATTTACAGTAAAATGTCTCATTTTCCTTCCTGTCAGAAAGTGGCCATGAATTTGCATTTAGATTCCTCTTTAAAAATCTCTGTTGCATGATTTTAAAGGGATAAATTATTAAGCTCCACTTACAGGATTTTTATGAAACTCATGTTTCATGGACTCCACAAAATAGTGTCACACCAGCTGAGGGTTAGCCATAAAAGTAAAAGATAATAAAAGGAGGGGAAGGAGAAATTCTGTAAATGCTTTTAACAAAAACATCAACTGAGATTTTAATGGCAGTATAAAATAGGTTGGCTAAGATTTCAAAAAGGTGAGCAGGAATTCTAATCTTCACAATGGAACAACAAAGCCAGATTTCAGAAATAGGCAGAAAAAGGAATACATTAATAAATAGGCCACAGTTGAATATCAGCAATCAGGTTGTTTCCTGGGCAACTTGCTACCTTATTCCAATTATTTCTGGATCTGAAAACTGCCTGAAAATCTAAAAGGGCTAGAGAATTACAGTGGCATTCACTAAAGTCTGAATCCAAAACTCAAATAAGTCAATGGGACTTTTTCCATGGACCACAGTGGGGTCTGAATGAGGCCCTAAGAATATGAACTGTGTTTACAATACTATGGTACACATCCTCTTTAAACAGAGGATTTATGAAACATCCATTGACATCAGAATCACTTTACAGCAGTGTTGTTGATCCAGTGGAGAGATCAACTCTTGTGTAACTGTTCCTCACTAGAGTTGGCATGGCAATAGAGAGACAGTTTTATACTAGGAAGAATTGCTTTTATGTCACTGATGCGTTTTCTGTTTTTCTGACCCTTTTATGTGCGCAGGATTCTGGAATTGACATTGGTGATATTTCTGAGAGGAAGGCCCTGAGGAAAAAACTGCAATGCAAGACCTTTAGGTGGTACCTTGTCAGTGTGTATCCAGAAATGAGAATGTACTCAGACACTATCGCCTATGGGGTGGTAAGGATCCTGTTTACCTCGATCATTAAAAAAAGAATAATAGTGGAAGTAATTCATGCAGACAATGCGTGGTTCCAGATAAGAGCCAGATCAAACTGGGAGTCACTAGTTAAATAGATGGATTGACTGGTTAGTTGACAAAGACTGTTGTGCTACAATACTTCATACAAATATATTCCTGTGTATTGTCTTCTTTGCCTGCTATTTTCACAGATTTTGTTAAAGTGAAAGATTTCTGGGGTATAATTTATTAGATGCTTCAGAGCTGTTGGCTGGAAACTATGGTGAATACATGTAGTTTGTGTGAATTTACTCAGTGCACTTAGTTTTTCACATATAAGCACCTTAATACAATATCAAAATCATGTATCTAGAGGTTCATACAGACATGTATGCACCTAAGGATTATCATCATCATTGCATACTATTTATGTTACAATAGCCTCTACATGCCACAGTTGAAATCCGGGCCTGATTATGCTAGGCCAGCGTACTAAAACATAGTAAGAAACAGTACCTGCCCCAAACAGTACCTGCCTCCAACCTAAATGGAGAAAGCAGACAATAAATAGTAGGGGAAATGAGCGTAGAGAGGTAAAGTGATTTTCCCATGGGCACAAAGCAGGTTAGTGACATAACCAGAAACAGAACCCCTATCCCAACTCTTAGTCCAGTGCCTCATCCATTAGCCTGCACTCACTGCCTTTTGTGAATGAAAGTAATCTCTGCACTCAGGTCCCACTTCAGAAGCCTAAGTAGGATATTTCACCAATAAGTGCAGATCATCAATGCAAGATGTGGAGGAAGACACCCCTGCTTGAAAACTGGGTTCTCTGAGTTCTGCAGTTTGACTGTTTGGTTCTGTGGAGATCTAGTAGGATCCAGGGTTGCAAGGTGTCCAGTTTTCGACCGGAACGCCCGGTCAAAAAGGGACTCTGGCAGCTCTGGTCAGCACTGCTAACCGGGACGTTAAAAGTCCGGGTGGCGGTGCTGCAGGGCTAAGGAAGGCTAGTCTCTACCTGTCCTGGCTCCGCGCTGCGCCCTGGAAGCAGCCAGCAGGGCCAGCTCCTAAGGGGGGGGCAGGCCACAGGGCTCCATATGCTGCCCCCCGCCCTGAGCACTGGCTCCGCACTCTCATTGGCTGGGAGCCGCAGCCAGTGGGAGCTGGAGGGGCGGTGCCTGTGGGAGAGCGCAGCGTGCAGAGCCTCCTGTCCCCTCCCCCCCACCTAGGAGCCGGACCTGCGCCGCTGACCGGGAGCTACCTGAGGTAAGCCCACATCCCCAGCCCAGAGTCCCTGCCCCAAACCCCTCATCCTCAGCCTCACCCCAGAGCCCGCACCCCCTCCCACACCCCAACCCCTTGCCTCAATCTCCTCGCCCCTGCCCACACTCCGAATCCCTCGGCCCCAGCCTGGAGCCCACTCCTCCACTCCAAACCCCTCATCCCCAGCCTCATCCCAGAGCCCACACCCCCAGCCCAGAGCCCTCCCACATCCCAACCCCCTGCCTCAACCTGAAGTCCCCTCCTGCATTCTGAATCCCTTGACCCCACCCGCCCAGCCTGGAGCCCGTTCCTGCACCCCAAACCCTTCATTCCCAGCCGCACTTCCAGCCGGAGCCCTCACCCCCTCCTGCACCCCAACTCCCTGCCCCAGCCAGGAGTCCCCTCACGCATCTTGAACTCCTCACTTCTTCCCCCAGTTAGGGCCCTCACCCCCTCCTGCACCTACACACACACACACACACACACACACACACCAACCCAGTGAAAGTGAGTGAGGGTGGGGGAGAGCGAGCCACCGAGGAAGGGGGGAGCGCCTCGGGGAAGGGGCGGGGCTAGGGTGTTCGGTTTTGTGCAATTAGAAAGTTGGCAACCCTAGTAGGATCCTGTAGGACAGTAGCACATTTTAGCAAATGGAATGGCTCTGTACTTGAAAGGTATTTTATAATTATTTGACTGCTTTGGATGGTCAATTGAAATTATAGTGCTGGCTTTTCATGGAAGTCAAATAGAGAATAACCCATCCAAAAAGTAGCAAGGCAAAGTTCTTTTAAAAGTAATAAGGATTGTAGAAAACTGTTAAAGGCAGGGCCAAATTCAATCTCCTCGATGTGAGGAGATTGACTTCACTGGAATTGTGCTCAGTTATACTAGAATTGAATTTGGCCCAGATTCTTTTAAGGATAGATTAGGCTTCCTAGTAAATGGGCGCATATTTCTCCTGCCAGGCATAGAAGCCTGGAGCATTTTTGATCACAGATATAAATAGTAAATGAGTGAAAAAGGAAACACACAGGTGGAATAACTGAGTTACTTGACACATCCTTCTTGGACTAATTCAACATTTATTTGACAGGCACAGATGAAAAGCACAGAACAGGCCTCTTAAGATTTTGACTCTCCTGAGCCTGTCTCAGCATCTACAGAAGGATGCTGACAATACCAAATAAGCTTGGTATACAGCAAGAGTGAGTGTTCATACATCACACTGTTACGTGATGCAGAACCAAAGAGCCCAATATATAAGTCCTCAGGGCACCTCTGGTCAATAGGTACATATTATGAGTGTGCCACAACAAGGGACATGATATAATCTATTGACTGCAGCACGTCAGTACATTAATGGCCTCATAATTTAGCTGGGAGCTGTGGTGGGAAGTCTTATTCCACTAACTGAAAAATGCCTGAAAATAATGGACCATATGACAAAGCATCTCTAGAGTTACAGAGGCTTGCAAGAGACATTGCATTAGGAAATAAAAACACACTGTCACCTGATCTTCATAGAGGGAGTGGTATTTGGTTCCCTCGTCTGTTCTTTCTTCATTTCTTCTTTTCCACTTGTTTGCTAAGCTTGTAATGAAGGAAGAAGTGTCATGGAAATGCAAATCAGCAGCTAATTCAGATTTTAAATATTGAAGTGCTTACCTGCTTGGATCACTGCTCCGCACTTATCAAAGATATCTGATTTTCTTTGTTTTTGTGGTGGGGGTGGACATTTTGTTGTCAGTAATGAAAAAAATTAACAAAAATGCTGCATTATTACAAAAGGAAATCCGAATCAATACCTTTTTTCATTATTTGATCAGCTGGAGACTCAGATGTTGCCAGGCTCCACAGTAAGATTGTAAATTAGGCTGTGTGCGCACTTGAAAACTAAGCAGTGTGTGATAGAACAGGATTAAGTGCAATTGGTCAGGTGTGCACGCTAACCATATGAAGTCTTGTGCTTTTGCCCTGCATCCATACTAGTGTTGTTCTAAACCATCTCATTTGAAATATCCTCTGAGTACCTATCTCACAGCTCACAGAAGCAGTGGATTCTGAGAGATTTCAAAAGGCCACCAGTGCACTTTGGAACAGTAGTGTGTAGACTCATTGAACTGTGTCATCTAGTTCATATCCACGCTGGCACTAAAAAGGAGAGAAGGCCTATAGCAGAAATGAGGACCGAAAGAGTGAAGTACGTCGGGAAGATGGCAGAGGTTTATTCATTCAAACAGTGTAAGAAACATAACAAGAATAGTGATGATCTTGAATCGAGAGAGGAAGGTGCAAGTAACAGTAGTGACAATGGAATAAAATGGCAGCACTATGTCATTAATGTCAATAATAATGAAAGGAAGGATGGTTTTATGGTTAAGGCCCTCAGGAAATCTGAATGTAATTCTCAGCTCAGCCACATATTATCTGTGTGACACTGGGCAAGTTACTCATCTCTCTATGCTATAGTTTTCTATCTGTAACATGTGGATAATACTTCCTTTCTCCCACACTTACTGTATCTCTGTAAACTCTTCAGGGCACAGACTGTCTCATCATGTGTATGTGCATGTGCATTGACTAGCACAATGGGGCTCTGATCTCAGTTGAGGCCATTGCTGAAATGTTAATAATGTCCCCTGAGCTGTCCCTGTTGTCGTGCAACTCTGCATCACACTAGCATTGGGCAATATGCCCAATTCGGCCCAATGTGTCAACAGAACAAACAACAGCAAAGGATTAGGTTAATTGTGGTTAAGTAATTTAGATGAAGTGCTACAGGTACATAAAATTACTCCACTGGAAATGTGTATAAAACAAACTAAATGATAGATAAATATTTCACCTCGTTGCTTTTCTATGTTCTGAGATGAATAGTTTGTCTATACAGAATATTGAGACTTTGGTTCCTTTCATAAAATATGTGCTCCTTCTAGAAGGCGTGGCCCCTTTGAATCCCATGCATATAAATTATACATAAAATCCTGTGGTACCTAAATTCTCACTTACTTGTTTCATTCTCAATCCCAGAGGCTCAAGGTAATCAGAAGTCCTTCAGAATGTAAATTTCTTATGAGACTCCTTGCAGAGCCTTTCATCTTTATTGGGAGGGAAAGCTCTTTCAGAAGCTGAGTGGTGCGCTCTTAGATAAATTGCTCAATAAATCCTTCATTCTTTGTAGCAATGTGGGTTGTGAGTCAATGGAGCTATGCCAGTCTACACCAGCTGAGGACCTGGCCCATTGATGCTATTGGGACTGCTTGTGGGACAAGGTACAGCATTAGTAATGGTATCAGAATCTGGCATTATGTTTTAGTCCATTTGGGACTGATGCTAGGTGGTCCTGGGCACTTTTAGGGAGTTTTGAGGGCCCTCAACTCCCATTGATATAATAGAAACTGAGTAAGAAGTTCAGGATTTAATCTACAAACAACAAGAGAATACAGCATATAAATGTACAATTGTACTATTAAACATGAAATATAAAGGGCACCGCACCATGGAAAGGTCACAAATTGTCATTGTCCTTTCCAGGTTCTGATGACATTACAAACCATTTTGCTTTTTTTCCTGTCTCAGAGGTCACCAATTCCCTGCTGTCAATATCTCTATGGCATATCGTCCACTGACATCTGTAACATATTCCCTGTCAGCCTGATCCTATAACCACTCTGCACACAGAAACATCTGTGACTTCAGTGGGAATTCCATGTGTTGATTGGCTGTCGCATTAGACTCTAATGGAAAACACAGAGGCTGGCATTTCCAGAAAGGCTCAGTAGCCATAGATTTTCAGAAAGAACAGGAGTACTTGTGGCACCTTAGAGACTAACAAATTTATTAGAGCATAAGCTTTCGTGGACTACAGCCCACTTCTTTGGATGCATATAGAGTGGAATAAATATGCATATGCATCCGAAGAAGTGGGCTGTAGTCCACAAAAGCTTATGCTCTAATACATTTGTTAGTCTCTAAGGTGCCACAAGTACTCCTGTTCTTTTTGCAGATACAGACTAACACGGCTGCTACTCTGAAATCGATAGATTTTCAGAAAAGCAATGAGAGTTGTTGGGTGCTGACCACTTTTGAAAATCTGTCCTTAAGTAGGTGCTAAAATGGTGAGCTATTTGGAAAAATCTGGTGACACTTGTGAATGCCTTTTGAAAGTGTGGTCCTTAGAGGGCTAAATTCTGCCCTGGCTCATGCCGTGTGTTGAAGTTAGTAGGGTTCTGCTATGTTTAAGTCAGGGAAGAATTTGATCCAGCTGTTTTCTCTTCAAATGCACTCTTAACCTCACACAGACAAGTGTCTTTATTATGAATGTTTCCTTCTCTCGGGTAAATATGATTTTCTTGCAAAGAAATGGAAATGATTGAATATAGTCCATTCTAACACATATTTGGTTTCTTTTTCTCTGTGTCTATTCTAGCTGCAGAATTCCCTGAAAAGTGATTTGTGCCTTGATCAGGGGCCAGACACAGAAAATATTCCAATCATGTATATCTGCCATGGAATGACACCACAGGTTAGTATGACTAATGATCTCATATATGGCTGCTGCTTTTAGTAGGCTATGTAGGAGGAACCATATTGTAACTATCAATGTTTTTTCCTGCTACAGTACTTCCTTAGGCTGTTTGTTAGAGATTTTATAGAAAATTGGAACATTACTTGTGCCATAATGTCGAGAATCACTTGTGTATTAATTAGTGCTTTGACAAGGAAGCTTATTTATTCATTTTGGAAGACTATAAGCAACAAGAGGCATGAATTAGTGCTACATTTACCAGGAATTGTTGGCATAAGCTTTTGTTATTGATCTCTTTTAACTGTGTCCCTGATATGAATGCAACAGTAAGCTCTAAAGAAGATATAATGTATTTAAAGCAACATTTTCTCTTTTGGGCTGCTGTATTTACTGTCTTTGTTCTGGGAATTAGAAAGGTACAACACCCTACTTAAAACTGCACTACAGACATGTACAAAAATAAATTAATACCCACAAAAGCCCTTTATTCCAGGCCCTTTTTACATTCCCTAATACATGCTCATTTTGTTCAGAATGGGTCAAAGACTCAAATTATCAAGGCCCTTGCATTTACTTTGTGACAGGTTAGATCACAGAACCCCCTTGGGGGAGCTGCCACCCAATGTGCCAAGACTAATTCTACCCCTGCTTTTCCTGCCAGCTCAGGACTCCAGCACCCTGTCTTGCTGAGCCAGACACTCCTGTCTGCTCCAACAAAGACCCAGGGTCTGAATTACTTGCCCCAAAGCTGCAGGTTTACCTGAAAGCAGCTAACAGAAGTGTTTCTGTCTTTAACACTCAGATGCCCAACTCCCAATGGGGTCTAAACCCAAATAAATCCGTTTTACCCTGTATGAAGCTTATGCAGGGTAAACTCATAAATTGTTCGCCCTCTATAACCCTGATAGAGAGATATGCATGGCTGTTTGCTCCCCCAGGTATTAATACATACTCTGAGTTAATTAATAAGTAAATTTATTAAATACAAAAAGTAGGATTTAAGTGGTTCCAAGTAGTAACAGACAGAACAAAGTAAGTCACCAAGCAAAATAAAATAAAATGCGCAAATCTATGTCTAATCAAACTGAATACAGATAAGATCTTCACCAGTTCCAAAATGCTCCCTTTTACAGACTAATCTCCTTTTAGCCTGGGTCCAGCAATCACTCACACCCCTTGCACACTGTCCTTTGTTCCAGTTTCTTTCAAGTATCCTGGGGGGTGGAGAGGCTTTCTCTTTAGCCAGCTGAAGACAAAATGCAGGGGTCTCCTCCGGGCTTAAATGGACTTTCTCCGGTGGGTGGAGACCCCCTCCTCTCACCTATGCAAATTCCAGCTCCAAGATGGAGTTCTGGAGTCACCTGGGCAAGTCACATGTCCATGCATGACTCACAGTTTCTTACCAAGTAGCAGCCATGGGTCACATGCTACCTTGAACGTCCTCAAGTAAACTTCTTATGTGGATTGAAGCCTTCCAAGATTCATTGTTCTTTAAGTGTTTCTTGACTAGGTACTTAATTTCAACATTCCTCTCTCCAGGAACTGCCCAAATGCTCTATTAAGGTTATTTAGCAATCAAGCCAGTACACAGCCAATATTCATAACTTTGAATACAAAAATGATACATGCATGCAGATAGGATTAATAGATTCAGTAAATAAATAAATGGAGATATATTTATAATCTCATAGAACTGGAAGGGACCCTGAGGTCATCAAGTCCAGCCCCCTGCCTTCACTAGCAGGACCAAGTACTGATTTTTGCCCCAGATCCCTAAGTGGCCCCCTCAAGGATTGAACTCACAACCCTGGGTTTAGCAGGCGAATGCTCAAACCACTGAGCTATCCCTCCCCCAGATAGATCCTAACCTTTATATAGACATGTTACATAGCATATGTAGCATCGATAGATTCAGTAGATCATATTCCAGTTATGTCATATTCCCATAAAGCATTGTGGGGTACAGTGTCACATACATAAACAGTTGGATTTAATAACTGACAAACAAGAGTTTGAGCATATAGCCTCTTCTTGAATGACTAACAATCTGGACACATGTGAAAGCATTCTCATGCAACTACTGAAACTACCACTTGCGTGGTCTAGAACTTGCCTCTCAGAAACAGACAGTGCAAAGTAGTTGATATTGGAAGATCACTTAAACAAAAATTGATAGAAGGAAAATAGTCATATTTTGATTGCACATTGTAGAGTAAAATACCCCTGCATTTTAGAATTCATGAGGGTCATTGAAACCATTTACTACTTCCCTTTCCTAGTGCGTAGTAATAATCAGTAGAAAACTTTGCTCTGATTGTTCTTTTTATGCAAGCATTGTACAAAAGGACCTTGATACTCTTCATTTATATAAATGTGTGGGATGTGGTGCTGTTCATGGAACCATCAATTACTTGATTTGATTACACGGCAAAGGAGGATCATAACACTAGCTAGCTAAGACATAGACAAGTGCACACCGAAAAGGTAACATTGACCTTCCATCTATGGGTAACTTACTCACTTGGAAACTTAAGCCTGATGAAATTGTTAGTGTTGGTTATATAATACCTTGCAAAGTGATGTGTTCTGCATTTTCAGCTGTGCACTGATTTCCTTTACTGAGAGCTTTTAATATTGATCACTAGAGGGATCATGCTTGAGTAAATTATGAATGATGAAGAGAAAAATATCGGAGAGTCCCATTTATCACATGCACCCACTGCATAGACTGCAGCTTATTTTTCACATAAGTATGCTGATAACTAGTGTTTTGCCTCCAGGAGCTTTTTAAGCTGGTCCTCATTGTTAGCTAAGTAACTACCTACCTTCAGTGTAAATCACAAGTTTGCTGGAGTCATTATTCTTCACCTTCTGGGAAGGTGCCATAATTCTCTTCTGGCGTATCATCTGTGATAACCGTCTACATACACTGTTGTAAATTAAAATTGGAAATTTTAATTATAGTTAAGAGGCAAAAAAAAAGCCCCCTTAATTAGCACCGTTCAGCATTCACTGTACAGTGAACTATTTTTGAATGTCAGTCAAATTTCTGCATAAATGAGACACTGGTAACAAAAATATGGGGATGGGGGAGAGAGAGAGAGGAATTCTCTTGATGGGAGCATGCTTCTTTCATAATTACAGTGTTAATTGCATCTCCTCACCCATTAACATGATTTCAGGTTTTTTTTTTAAAGCTATGACGCTATCTGACTTTGCCTGGGATTAGAAAATGAGTGAGATCTCTCTTTAAGGAGGAACTTGCTGTTTCCCCATTAAGGGATGTGTACTTGGCCCAATTGTGTGCTACTACTATAGCATAAAGGATCCATAAATTTGACTGAATAGGCATCTGGAAGATTTCCTCTGTGTAGAGGGAATCCCCATATTTATGGCATAGACCCAAGCCTCTTCCCAGCAACTGGCACAGAGGGAGTGGTTTGTTCAAGGTCCCTTTGCATAGTCTGGCAGCTCACACTTGTGGCCATGGACCTAATACTTAGTGTTAAGTTTGTTGAAGAAGAAAAAAATAGTTGGAAAGCAGTTACACTGTTTAGTGAGGAATACTGGCCCAGTCCTGAACCCCCTACTCATGTGAGCAGTCCCAGTGAGACTAATCAGTGGGACTCATAGCCGGGGTCAGGACTACTGGTGTGAGTAGGAGTTACGGTATGAGTCCTTGTGCTAGAAAAATCCCATACTCTGCATGTCTGAGGTCTATTCATTTCTTGGGCTACCTCTACGCCGCCAGCATGGCTTGGGCCTGCTGAATACTCAGCACCACTATGCCGTGACTCTGCTGCCACTGCCTGTGCTACTGCAGCTACCCTGCTGTTTATACTCATACAAGCTTGATGAGAGCTAACACAGGTATGCATACACAAGCAGGGGAATCACACCCCAGCTCGTAGTGTAGACGCAGCCTGAGAGTCGTTTTGGCTCTTCCAAGACCCTTCTAGTATTACGGAGAGGAGGTAATGTGCAAGAAATTGTGTGGTTTAAACAATGTTCTACCCTGGCATATGATGCAATATTTTCAACTTCCTTAATCCTTTCCCTCTCTTAGAAATTGGTTTCTTCCTTCTTAAACTGGTGCAAAGTGCTCACTAGAGATGAACCTTTCATTTTCCTTATAGGACCCTATGCATGTCAAAGTGCACAGATATGCTGACTAGAGAGCTTCTTATAGCTGATTACCACAAGGCCAATGCATGTATCCTACCAGGAGAAGAGTCACAGTAAAGAAATAAATAAAATGTGCATAAACACACTCCAGAAAAATCATTATAGGGTAATAGCATAAGATGCACTGGACCAAGAGAAGAATTCAGGGCTTGTCATGCATTTCAATACCTTGGTTTTCACACAGCATTCATATATTTGATAGATTTAATTGCAAATAAATCAGGGGTGGAATGCATTTTAATAAAGGATGTTTTTGTGGACTTAAATAAAACCCTTAGAAATATGTATGAGGATGAATTCATATGATCCTAAAAAACAAGTTAAAAATGGAAAAGACCCATTAGGTCATTAGCCCATCTGCTTGACAATTCAGGATTTTTCCCAAAGCTACTAGTATTTGTTCCTAATACTTTCTCTATTCTAGTTTTAAACATTCCAAGCCAAAGAGCTTCCTCTGTTTCCCTGGGGGGACTATTCTACAGCCTAACACATCTCACTGTCAGGGAGTTTTCCCTGATATGCAGCTTAAATTTTCCTTTCTTCTCATTCCTTCTAGCTATATCCTCTTTTTCCATCATGAATAATTTCTTGCTCTGTGCTAACCCCTTTCAAATCATTGAAGACTCAGATCTAGTTCCTCTTTTACTCATCACTTAGTCAAGCTATTTGGCATCAGCTCTTGAAATTGCATAGCTATGGAATGTGTAAATAGCTACGCTTTTCTTTTAGCACGATTCACACACATGGGATGATTGAACTCTTTGAAAAGGGAATTGTGAAGTTAAAATATAAGAGTGCATAGCACTGTTTTG